GGCTATCAAAGGTGGTCTCAGAAAGAATCTTAAGATCTGATCTCCCAGTCAAAGTGAGGGAATCTTTGGTCATCACTCCACAGTGCCTTCTAATCTCTCCTTATGATGGTCTTGGCTAACCTCACTTGTCCCACAGTCTTCTAATGCCTGGTCTCTGGAGTTATATATGGTACTGAACAACTCTTATTTCATCAGATGGTACAAAAATTTATTTTGCAACAGAAGGAAAACAAAGTGACTCTGATATCCAGTCAGGCTAAATACCAAGGCCTTTAATCAGAACTCCCACAACAATCATAACCCACAGAGTAGGAGGGGCTATTAAAATAAAATGCTGCCAAGTTCCAAGCATATGCATACAAAGGGCTAACTGTATATCCCCAAGCCTAACAGATACTTCCATTTTCCACCTCAGACCTCTTTATAAAGCAATGCCTGTGCTTTTGTGACATAAGCAGAAAAAAATCAAAAGAAAAAATTTCCAGTTCCCAAATGACCCAATCAGAACGTAATACCTAGAATTCCTCCCAATGTGTAATAAACTTATTTTCCTCTTTATCCCTCCCTTTTTCAGGGTAGAGGGATAAACTGAACTTGTTTCATACCCAGCAAGGAGATTAAATTAGCTTTAAAAGAAAAGGGAAAAAATCCAAACTCTAGTGGAGTTTTATTATTCCTTGAAAGCTATTTACAGAGACTTTGGTTGAACAAACTGTAAAATACATACATAAATCACAGTTAAAATTCTAAAGATTAATATGAAGCTACGACTGAGATTAGTTTACACAGGGGTGTGCCAGAAACCCCTAATTTTCAAATGCGAGCTGCAAATTTGGCTCTCAGCTTCAGGAAAAAAAGATTAGGTATAAAACAACAGTGCTTCCAAGACAAAAACAGACCAGGTGCTCAGGAGAAGCACAATTTTTTCAGGGAGTGAGATCAGAGAGAAATTTCTCCTCTTAGTTCTTATAAAGACAATATTATTTGATACAATGCACAGTACTTGATACAATGAACACTACTCTCAAGAGTGTCCACACAACCAATACAAGAGTTTATCACTTACAGCATACTCCAATTTGAACCAAGGGCATGCTGCCAAAATCCAGGAGAAAGATTACATGAGGAAACAAAGTAACATTGTCAAGTAAGGCAAAATAAAATTGTAACAAAGTAACAAATGTCTAATGTTCTGATTTAATCCAGGGACAAAATCTACAACATCTAAAGCAGTGATTCTCAAAAACACTATGTATATCCAAAGTTAGTCCTCCCAAACAAACAAACAAACAAACAAAAAAGCCATTCATTCATTTAAATACATTTATTCACCACCTTCTAAGAAGTGGGGATACAAAGGTAAACAAGAAAGAGACATGGTTTCTTCTCTCACGAAGTTTTCAATCTAGAGGTGGGGGTGAAAGACATCAATCAAACGGTCAAAGAAATAAATATAAAATAACAACCATACAAGTATTTATTTAAAGGAAGTAAACAGTGGTATGAGTGCACACAATAAGGGGAAGTCTGGAAGGCTTTCCCTGAGGAAGTCATGAATGAACTGAGATAAGGAGTTAGCCTGAGAGAGAAGGGGTGGAGGAGGGAGCTCTGGCAGACAGAGAAAATAGGAAGAGCAAAATTTCTGTGTAGAAAAACTGAGACAGCAAACGAGACAAGGTCAACGTCATTGGATCCTAAAGAAAAAGGAGGAAGCTCGTTCAAAATTAGGCTGGAGTGATGGGTAGTACTATACCATGCAGAGCTTTGACCATGATTGGAGTTCATCCTAAGAGAAATGAGAAAGCACTGAAGTGTTTCCAGGAAAGGACACAATGTAATTAGATCTCCATTCTGAAAGATAACTTTGAGAGTGAAAAACAGATTTAGAGGGAAAACAAAACAGATGCATGGAAAGCAGGATGCCACTGCAATAATCCAGCAAGAGTCCGAAAGAAGAATGGAACATATATGGAGATTCTGATACTAGATGCTCCCCACTTAAACAAAGACACTGCCACTGATGAGGAACGTTTTTTCTCTAACAATGTTGAGGTAAAAAAAATTAGTTGAAAACTACTAATATTCAAAAATGAATAGACTTATCCTTCAGGCAGCCCTTCATGAATCTTAGAAACATACCAATGATTTATACCTTTAAAATGTCACTTCACTATGCTGAGGCCATTCCTTTGAATAGGGTCAAGATTCTCCTTAAAAATAGTAAGGATATGAATAAATAACGTTTTAACCTTCTATACCATAGCAGCACATGATGCCAATCATTTCAGCCTCAAAGCTTTCACATAGAGGGGGGCCGGCCCGGTGGCGCAGCGGTTAAGTTTGCACGTTCCACTTCAGCGGCCCAGGGTTCACCAGCTTGGATCCCGGGTGCGGACATGGCACCGCTTGGCAAGCCACACTGTGGTAGGCATCCCACATATAAAGCAGAGGAAGATTGGCACGGATGTTACCTCAGGGCCAGTCTTCCTCAGCAAAAAGAGGAGGATTGGCAGCAGATGTTAGCTCAGAGCTAATCTTCCTCAAAAAAAAAAAAATTTGGTATAGAGTACACCATAAAGTTATTAAAAGACCTTCTGAACAAAGAAAAGGAGTCTTTAGAGGGAGATTTATGTTCTTATTCAAATACATTTTCAGGAAATAATAATGGCTAAAACAAATGAGCTATATATTCAACTAAAGAACCTGAAAATCGGCAAATCCAAAAGAACAAAAGAATAAAAATAATAAATATAAGGACAGAAATCAACAAAATAGAAAACAAAAACAACAGAGAATATAAACAAAAGTACAGGCTATTTTTTTAAAAAAGCATTGTCATTCACCATTTACTATAGTGCCAGTTTGTCTTAGGAGTCCTGCAATCATTCAAATCTAGATATGGACAAACAGAAAATGCAAATGATTCCATTTTAGCTATACTTTTTTTAACAGAGTAAGTTAATCTGTTGTTTTCCCTATAGAGGCCACATTACTGCCTGAAACTGAATTTAAAATTACGAAGCCTTCAGAGGATTATGGATACACGGCTATTTAAAAATAATTCTCAGCAACTTTTAGTCTATATTTTTGTATTTATCTAATTCTTTCACTATTTAAATGTCTTCAATTCTAGCTAATGTGTTCATGATAAAGTAACAATAATTCTGAAGTAAAATAACATCTTGATTTAAATTTGTAGTAAAAAAAAAAACCTAGTATAATAATTAACAATTATTGAGCACTTACTACACTGCCAGACATGTTGGATCAGTTCATTTCATCTTGATGTTAACTCTATGAAATGCTATTATCATCTCCATGAAACAGGTGAAAAAAGGGGACAAAGAGCTTAACTAACTCTGCTAGCAGATGACAGAGCTAGAGTCCAAAGCCAGGCAGTCTGATTGCCAGGACCACAGCTCTTAATCTTGTTGCTGTAATAGCTACACATGTGTTTGGTCTTAGAAGGAATCCGCAAATAGCCAAACTACTTAATAGTGTTAGCTGACGTAAAGAAGATTAAGAACCTCACCAACTCATGGATGGGATATGGGGGAGTTTACTGTAAAATGCTTTCAACATTTTTTGTATGTGTGAAATTTTTCATAATAAAAAGTTGAGAAAAAGAAACTTCATCAACACACCATTTAGTTAGTATTTTAAGAGATGATACAGAGAAACTGTTAAGGTCTAAAAGTTGCATTTCTAACATGCAAAAGTAAATATGAGTTACTTGAACTCCACAGGAGTTATTTTAACGTTTGTCAGGAAACGTAGCTGTCAGGCTAGGCCAGCTGAACCTATAATATGGGACTTGGTATTACGAGATGCTATGGGGTTTTCTTTTTATTGAACAATATTTTTTTAAGTGCTCAAAGGAAATTAGTCCAAACTTTCTATTGTACAGATTTTTAAAAGCACAGAGAGAGTTAAAAAGATCTAATCATGCATAGCTGGACAATGGGTCTCCCGTTTCATTTCAGGGTTGCAGAGAAGTCCATAAAGAGCAGTGCAGTTTAGGTAACAGTCTACTAGGTGAGCCTCCACATCAAAGCAGAAGGGGGAGAGAAAAGAGGAATGCTGGAAGAAAGGAAAACTGCTATGTTATTACTAAGGTTTACCGTTCAATTAAAACAAAAAGGGGCTAAGCACTAACACCCAGAATAGAGACTGGAATACTACTGAGGTAGCTGGCTGCCAGAACAGCAATTTTCACCTGTAGTTAAAGAGGAACCAAGCCAAAAACAAACAAAAAAACCTCTTATTTAATGAGGGTGCAGGGTTCTGACAAAGCGAGGTGACCTGAATCTGAAAATCAAAGTAAGAGTGTTAACAAGAACGATGATCAACAACAGAAGATTTCTTAAAAGGATTATTTAATGCTTTAAACTTGTGGCATGTTAAAACTGGTTACTTAAAAAGACATCACTGTAGGGGAGAAGAACAAAAGCTTTAGAACCAGTAAGCACTGGGTTCAAATTCTGCTTCCCGGTCATAGACTACCTATATAAACTTGTACAAATTATATCACCCCTAATATTCAGTTTCCTCACCTACAAAATGGGATTAATCAATATACCCTCACAGAGCTGTTTAAGGATTAAGGTACATAAAGTTAGGTAATTGCTTAGCACCGTACCTAGTAGATAGCGCTCAACTAAAGATTCCTTTCCTCCTGTGATTTACCTGAAACATACGTATTTGAATAGAATGAGTGTGACAGACTACAGGTACTTTCACAGAAATTAGGAAAGGTTATAAATCCAAGGCGCATGGATTCCAAGGAAATTTCCCTTATTTTCCTTCAGAGAATAACAATGAAAAACTATCTGAAACAAGTGAAAGTAGAAAAGAAGGTGGGGTAGACCAAGTGAGAGTTTGTTCCTGTGGGTATTTCTACTTTATCCTATCATTAAGCACCACCTAGCAACAGTCTGTGAGAAAGTCTCCCATACTTCCAAAGTCGCACAACGAAACACAAGATAGAGTATAATACCTACAGTTCATAGTGATTATAGTGACAATAGACGTCCATGACGATCCAGGGTAACTAAGAAAAGGATAAATTAGCAACAAGTTTACTTGGTAAGACAGGAAGGCATGCCATGTATTTCATTTACAGAGTTCCTTTGCAAATATTTACAATAGTTTCTGATAATAAAATATCTATTAATGCGTAATTCCCTGCCCTTATCCAAGACCAGATAGAAGAGAGAATTGCTGTATATTAATCTAAGAAATTAAGAATTTTTAAACATATTCTTAAACTTGTATGTTTTTACCATCATGAAGGAAAACCATACCATTCCTCACACAGCCTTTGTGCCATAAGCAGACAAACAGACATTACACGAATAAAACAAAACTGTGAATTAGCTTGCCACAGTTTTTGGGGGGACTATATTTTAAAAATTATTCTTTTTTATATTTCATTTACTATCTTGGGTATCTCATGAAGCTAAAATTTGTTTACTTTCATTCCCTTTCAATCTATCCTCTTGATTTAGGCTCTCCAGTGTAGGTTGGAGAAGCTAGGAATTCAACAGAAACAAATCTCAGCAAATAAACTATCCTTAGAATTTGAAAGCCAAAAAATAATATTCTAGGTATCATGATATCAAAACAAAAGTTGAAAAAGTCTTGTTAGGGGAATCTACAACAAACCAGATGAAATTGCCTGTGACCCACTAATATCCAAAAACGATACTTCTGTAAGTGTCTAATATCCCAAATTAACTGGTACCAGATTACCTATGATATGAGGTACACGGGCTCTAGGATTTGGAGTCGTTTTTTTAAAAGATATTCCAAAATTAGGCTTTGGCTTAAGTACACTGCTAAAATATGTTTCTCCATTCTGCCTCTGCCTACTTGGAGTCATTTCTGATATCCGTGAATGTGACATGAGCAGGGATTACATGATCATTAGGTAGTAGTATATCTAATCAGTGTAACAAGGTCACAGAAAGCCATGTCATTTGGATTTACTATTAGTATCTGAATATTCATTTTCCAAGTTAAGATGGTGTTTTAGATAAAACTTAGAATGAGAATCTCCGTGTGCGCTTTATATATTTAAATTTTATCAACTAGATGAAGTACAAATGTACATTAATGCAAGGGCAAAATGTTGCAATTAATGATGATTACGAAAACTATTTTATGTACAAAAGAAATTAACAATTTTCAAATAGACAAGTAGAAAAATAGAGTAATAATGTTGAGAGACTGAGTTAGGAGTTAGCTAATGACTTTAGGAATAATATATCCTTTCTGAGTTGACAAATGATTATGAAAATTTAAATAAGAGGGCCAGTCCCATGGCTGAGTGGTTCAGTTCATGCACTCCACTTCAGCAGCCCAGGGTTTCACTGGTTCGGATCCTGGGCGTGGACATGGCACCGCTAGTCAGGCCACACTGAGGCAGCATCCCACAGGCCACAACTAGAAGGACCCACAACTAAAATATACAACTATGTACTGTAGGGACTTAGGGAGAAAAAGCAGGGGGAAAAAAAGATTGGCAACAGTTGTTAGCTCAGGTGCCAATCTTTAAAAAAAATTAAATGAAATATAGAAAGCAGAATAATAGAAATTATATGTCACAATTCTAATTTTATTCAATTTGGCATACTACTACTCAGAACATTAAACAAAATAACATCTAAAGATATTTTTAATTTTAATTATTTAATTGCATGAATCTTTCAAGAAAAAATCTTATTTGAAAATTCACATCTTTTGCGAATGAATTAAAAACAGAATGTTAACTTTGCTACCTCAAAATTTCACAAGGAGAAAAAACTCCAAAGTTATGTGCAACATAATCAATTATCTTTGCTCCAGATATTCAAAAAAATATTTAAAAAGAAAAAGCTTACAGGAAAAAAATTTCCTCCAACAATCGTGTAGTTCACTCATCTCAGTTGAAAGCGACCCTCCATTCAGTAGCTATAATGTGCATCACAGCAATCACAGGAGTAATCTAGTAATAGGCAGTGCTGAGAAAACATTACGGCAGTGTAACATATTTTTAAAATTAGATCAGTAAAATTTCTAATAATAAATTGTAATAATTTGAGGGATAATAATTCAGACATTCACATATTCCAGAAGTTTAATCTATGATGATGATATTGGCTTTAGTCCCAGCTTTGGTGAAATACTGATTTTCACACTTGGACATGTGGTATTTAGGAAAAAAAACGCATACTTGGTACAATATACATACACACAGCCAAAATATGTAGGTATTTCTTACATAAATGCATTGTTCGCTTCTATTTTCATTTGCTTACACAAAATATAATTTTAAAATAGACTCCTATGTATGGTTAAAACTTGTATACAGTAGAAGAATTCTTGTTTTCTATAGCTAAAAATCTGCAGATCTAAGTTAGCTAGATTTAATTGATTTTATATTCTCTTAAAATATAATGTGAAAAAAATCAATATTCTTTGTAAATTCAACTTTTAATTCTTAAGATTTAGAAAAATCCTTTGTCATATAAGATGAACTTCTAACAACCTAGGATGAAATTGCTTGTGACCAAGTGATACCTAAAAAAAAAAAACCAACTCTTTTAAGTGTCCAATATCCCAATCCAGCATGAGATACCAGATTTACTGTCACTATGAGGCAATGGAGGCAATGGAAAGACTATACTGAAACTAAATGCCATAAGACACAGATTGTGGGTCTCACTCAGCTGCTTAGCCACCTTAGACAAGTTATTGATCCTCTAAGTCTGTTTTTTAAACTATAAAATGAAGATCTTAACATCTGTTCTGTCTATAGAGACCAAATAAACTACACTAAGTGACTTATAAACAGCAATATATGTATTAAGCATCATGAGTTCTAAATCTAGGTTCTTTATTTTTTACCACTTTTATAAATAGATTGTTATTGATTTTTATATGGTTTTATGTTATAATTATTAACTTAGGACGATTAACTTAGGACTTCCTATAAAAGCTCTTTGGGACTTCTTTGGTCATTTATTTGCCATTCAAGAATGTGAGTATGATTTCTGAAAGTCTAAGTACTAAAACAGTTTGTTTGAAGTATTAATGTTAAATCATGAACTCACATTTAAAAAAAAGCAAAGCAAAAGAAAACAAATATAAAATCATTTTACAATAAGGATTGCTCTTTGTCAAGAGTAACAATAGGGGCCGGCTCCGTGGCCGAGTGATTAAGTCCACGCGCTCCGCTGCAGCGGCCCAGGGTTCGGATCCTGGGCGCGGACATGGCACCGCTCGTCAGGCCACGTTGAGGCAGCGTCCCACGTCCCACACCTAGAAGGACATGCAACTAAGATATACAACCGTGTACGGGGGGGGGGGGGTGGTTTGGGGAGATAAAGCAGAAAAAAAAAAAAGAGTAATAATAACCTGCTGAAAATGCTTTTGCTAAAGTATTGGACAATGACTACTGTCTGGGTTGGTACATGGCAACAGCAGTCAAGTAACATCTCCCAGGACCCAAATACCTCAAAAAAGCTATTGGAAATAAGAATGCCCTCAGAAAGTTTTAACCGTAAAACCAAAACAACATGAAGCAGAACAGAGATTAGGAAGCCAGACACACAGGATCAAGTAAAAGATGACTAACTAAATTTAAGACATTAACATGCATTGAAAAGAAATGTTCCTATCAGAAAGAGGGGTTGGTTAGCCATGGAAGTGATGAAAAACGAGGGGTGGAAAGACAAATGTGGGCAGTGCTCATGTAAGCACTGCCCAGGAGAGAGGATATCCTGTAAGGCAGATGCTTGGCAGATGTATTACGGAGATGAAAATATCACTTTATCAGAGCCTGATGCCACTTAAAATTCTAGTCATTTATAATCAAATCCCTTGTTCTAATCCCATGCTCTTGTTTATTAGGTAACTTTTGGCAATTTGGTTTCCCACGTAGCATTCTACAGGGAGAGAATACTCCCTGATACAAACAATTAATCTTCGTTTTACATGACTAAATTGGCATTCTGACGTACACACACACACACACACACACACACACACACATTCTCTTGTGATGGGATGTCTGTCCTTTGGATAAAAGTGTGGGCTTTGGAATCAGATTACTTGAGTTACCACTGATTTACTCTGTGATCTTGGGAAATTTATCAATCTCAGCGTCTGTTTCCTCATTTGTAAAAAGGGGAAGTTGTGAAAATTAAATGAAATAATTCGTGTAAAGCACTTAAAGCAGAATCTGTCATATAGTAAGCACCAAATAAATGTTAGTCATTGTTATTATTTTTGAGCATGAATTAACATCCCCAAGTCTGATCAGCGCTGAGACTGATCAGTTTCTGAATCTGAAAAACTAAAGCGAGGCCACTGTGTTGAACAACTTCAGGGGGCATGTATGCACAAAAGAGTATTCTGGGAGCCCTAGACTGGAAGCTTGACCTGCTAAATTCAAGGTCACCCAGTTTTGTGAGTTTTTTTTGGTAGCCAGATTGCCAGTCTGTCCAGGTGAAAACCTGACTTCACTGTATAACAAGGGGCCACAGACTCAAATGCCCAAGTCGTCAGGCAGGTGAATGAGTGAAGCAGACATCAGGTGCTGAGTTTGCAAAGAAAGTATGAGTGATAGGACTGTGGAGCGTGGAAAACATAAGTCAAGCCTAATGGTATTCAAACACAAATATTTTTAAACACCTTGTCAGGCAAACAACAATGTGGGCAGATTTTAGGCCTGAAGGCTACCATTTTGCAAAGGAGGAAACAAGACACTAACAGATTGATAAATTTCCCAAGCACTCGTTAATTCAAGTTTTTAAATGTCCTAATTTAGTATATCCTGTGGCCAATTTTCAACCCTTACTTCCTTTACCTGCTCTGTGATCATCCCTTTCTTGAAACTTCCTCCTCCCTTGGCTTCTAGAAAACTTCTGTCTTCTTGGTGGTCTACTACACTCATACCTGAGTGATCTCATCATTTCAACGAACATCTCTGCTAAAAATTCCCAAGTCTTTATCTCCAGCTCTATCAACTCTAAGAAATATCTCATAAATTTTGCCTTTTGTCTCGTTTCTCATTGCCAAGATCCTCAATTTCTAGACTTACAGTAGCTTGACTCATTCCTTTCTTCCATGCGCCACATCCATCCATCAGCAAATCCTATTGGTTCTACCTCCAAATCATATTCAAAATCCAACCATTTTCACCTCCCTAGCCAAACCATCATCACCTCTCACTTAGATTTCTACAGCTTCCTTTTCACCATTCTTTTACAACAGCAAGACCCTGCCCAACTCTGTTCAAATCCTCCAGTGGCTCCCAGACCATTCAGAGTGAAACCCAAGTTCCCTACAATGGCTTACAAGGCCCTACACAATCCCCTGTTGCCCATCTAACTTCATCTCTTACTACTCTCCCCCTTGCATTCTTTTCTCTAGCCACTCTCTTCTCTTGTTTTTCCTTTAATTGCTCTAGGCTCATTCCTGGCTCTAGGCTTTTTACCTCCATGGTTACCTTTATCTAGAACGCTCTTCCCCCAAGATGTACTGGGTCTGGATTGCCATCTCATTTCAGGGCTTTGTTCAAATGTAACTTTTTCAGTAAGTGCTTCCAGAAACCCTATTTAAAACAGAAATACCCTCCACACACCCATAGGATGCCCCATCTCCCTTTCTACTTTATCATCATCTAACATATTTTTCATATTTATCACCTCTCCCTCCAAAGAAAATATAACCTCCAGTAGCTAAATGATTTTTTTCTTTACTACTGTTTTCCCCGAACCCATATTCAATACTAGGTGCTTAATATTTAATGAAAATCATTGAAAACTCCCTAACTTGTCTTCCTTCTACTGATCTCTCTTTCTGTAGTCCCCTTCCTCCTAGCCCCAAGTATCATGCCAAAAAACACACCTGATCATTCTCCTGCTTAAAAACTTCCATCAAATTTTTATATCCTTTAGGGTCCGACCCCTAATTCATTTAAGCCTTTTCCTCATTCTCCAAAATATGTTGTACACTCTTCACATACTAATACTTTTATCATCCCTGTACCTACCATGCCATCTCATTTCTTCATGCTTTTCATATTATTCTGCCTTTGCTTGGCTAAACTTAGTCATCCTCCAGACCTAGCTATTACATGATGCTTCCCTGAAGCTCCCATCTGCGCCACCACTGAATTCAGTTTATACTTCCATTATAACACTGATGCTGTAACTATGTATTTACCAATCTGTTTTTCCTACTAGATTCTAAGATCCTGGTGAGCAAGTTTAGCGATATTCTCTTCAGATTTGCTTCCCCAGTGCTTAATACTATAATTGGCACAGAAAAGTCTGTTGAACGAAAATGTAATGAACAAAACTTAAAA